AAAGAGGTTAATGACAATCCTTGAGAGTGCTAGGATTGGAAGTGGCCATGAGGGGTAGCTCTGGAGTGCTGGTACTATTCTGTTTCCTGATGGTTCCATGATGTGCTCACTTTGCAATATTCATATAGTTGTGTATGTATTACTTTGTATGTGTATTTTACTTCACTAAAAAGCACACAGTACAAAGAAACAAAGATACGGAAAATATGAAAATGTGGTTAAGAGTCACGGTGGACAGAATGAGCAGGTCTAATTCTATTTAAGATGAATTCAAGGACTTCCCTGGTGGTACGGTGGTAAAGAACCCGCCTTCCAACGCAGGGGATGCGGGTTTGATCCCTAGTCGGGGAACTAAGATCCCACATGCCACGGAGCAACTAAGCCCATGCACCACAACTACTGAGTCTGAATGCCTCAACGAGAGAGCCCGCATGCCATAGCTAAGACCTGACTCAGCCAAAAAAAAAAAAGAATTCAGTAAAAAGAGAATACATAGAACATGAGAGGCATTTTTTCCCAGAACTAATGTAAGGCATGAATCCTCAGATACAGTGAATCCTGAGCAAACCAAATGAAAAGAAATCCACTCTTAGACATACTTACATATTCAAGTTCACATTTTTATTGTATTAAAAATATACAACATATAATTTGTTATATAACCATTTTTAAGTGTATAGTAGTGTTAATTACATGCACATTGTTGTGCAACAGATTTCTAGAACTTTTGCATCCTGCTAAACTGAAATTCTATACCAACTGAACAACTCCTCTTTTCCTGCTCTCCCAGCTCCTGGGAACCACCATTCTACTTTCTTTCTACTACTTTGGATACCTTATCTAAGTGGAATCAAGTACATGTATTTTATTAAAAATTATTCGCCTTTTGTTTACCCTTTATAGTCAGAACATTACATCAATTTAAAAAAAATAATGTGCAGTAAAGAGAACAAAACAAAATATTTGTTATTAGAAAATGGCAGTGGGGAATTCCCTAGCAGTCCAGTGGTTAGCAGTCTTGGCTTTCACTGCCAAGGGCTTGGGTTCAATCTCTGGTTGGGGAACTAAGCTCCCACAAGCCCCACAGCTTGGCCAAAAGAAAGAAAGAAAGAAAGAAAATGGCACTGGGTTGCATAACGTTCAAAAACCACTGTGTCCCAACTGAACCTAACTGACCTATATCCATAACATCCCACTCTAGAAACCTTATGAAAATACTGAGTCATCACTAAACATATAATGGACTTTCCTATCCTTATACTAGTCTTATACTGTTCCTTCCAGCTAAACTAGCTTTATAGCTTCTCTCCAAACTTCGTGGTCCAATTTGGTAATACCTCTTCCGTGAAGCCTTTCCACATCTCATCAACCCACAATGAATCCTGAAACATTTGTTGTCTATAGCTGTCATGTGGCAATTAATCATGCACACTTTCGAGACAGAAGTTTTGTATTATCATTCAATGTTGTTATGTGAGTATGTTATCTCTCCAACCATATCTCACAGTTCTTTTTTTCTCCCACAGGACTTTAGGAATATCCTAGGCAGTTAGTAAATATTTGTTGATTGCCTGAAACAGGTACTTGCAAAATAGACTTAACTAATTTCAATAATAAAGACTAAGGAGCTTTATTTCTGTTCCCTTTAGAGACTGAAGAATCTGCTGATTCCACATGCTGAGGCAGTGCAAATCCTAGAATAGCTTCATCTCTGTTGATCACCAGTGAGTTTATCAACAGAGATGATAGGAGTAAAAACTGGAACTAAATCTTTTAAACATTGTGCTTATTCCACTTCACAGGAAAATGGCCGTTACACCATTCAAGAACTCACTGTTAAATAGCATAGGACTAAACAGATAACATACAATAACATGCTGTCGTTGGTAAACCCCATTTTTCCTATTAATAATATTTGTAAATGTAAACGGTAAGTATTGTAAATTTCTATTGTCCTTTTTAAGGAGCACATAGTTGGTGGCATCAGGTATATACATTAACCGTTGACACACAACCATTAAAATTGTTAACCCACAAACTCTGTTCTAACCTGGAACTCCAACTCAGGATGAATAAACTTCCCTTGTTCCCACAGCCTGCCCTGTCTCTTCCCTGTCTTGAATAAAACCTTAGTGTCCTCGGAGACTATTCATTTTTGTCTAGTGTGCAAGGCAGGGGAGAGGGTCTGCACTCTTTGCTCTCTCCAGTGCAGCTCCCAAA